CATGGCTTGATTTTTCTTCATAAAAAATCCTAAAATATCATAAATAGGCTGTGGTAAAAAGATAGGTTGAGCTAACCTTCAGCAAAAATCGAAAATGGCTACTTGGGCTTGATTGGGCTTGTCGCGGCCTTTGGGGTTGAAGCTCAGTTTTATGGTGGAAGGGCTGAGTTAAATGAACTCAAAAGAACTTAAACAAATCCAAGAATTACTTAGAAGTTGCTAAGCCCTGAGAGAACTTGCTCGGAAAGGCTGAGGTGTGGTCGTGCTTGCTCCCAGGTTGCGCGCGCGTGATGATGGCCAAGGATGATGTGCTCGACTTTTACTTTGATTTTTCTCAATATGTCCGAATGATTAACTGACTAAGAGCTCCCAAAGGCTGAGGAAATGATCCTTAAATAGGCTGAGGGGCAAACATTCCTAGGTTGGTCAATGGGAGACCAAAAATGGTGCATTTCTCCACTCACACATGCGCATGGGGAAAGGTTGGGTCTTGGGTGGTTTTGGCCTGATTTAGGGTGGTCTCCTATGCTGTTTTGCAGAGCATATTGACTGAAAAAGGCAGGTCTGGTCGGGTGTAGGTGACAAAGGCTCCACATGCACAATAAACTATTCCCACTCACCATGCACTTACATTAAAATAATGACCACTACTTGTGACTTTCCTTAAACATTTCTTAGGGCAACTTAAACTCAATTAGCTCCTTATTAACCCCTTAACACACGCATTAAATGATATTGGACGAATATGGGCTGAATACTTCACATTGGCCTCGAAATGTTGGGCTGTCGGGGACCTGCGCTGGGCCTGGGCGCTGGCTGCTGGGCGCGGCCTGTTGGGCGCGAGGCGGGGCTGCGCGTGGGGATTGCATGGGCTGAGCGCGGGAACACCTTGGACCGGGTATAATGGGTTAGGAAAGGTTCTCAACACTTAGGAAATTTACCAAATGATATGCTAAGGCTTTGGTAAGGCCTTGGGCTCGGCGGCACATGCTTTGGCGCGGCAAGGGGTGCGGGGCTTGGGCACGAGTGGCTCGGTGCATTGGCTAGGCTCGAGTATAAAGTCCAAGGCTCGACTTTGATATTCTTATACACTTAGAAAAATATTCTAAGTATAAAAATACCAAGACTCGGCTATGCTCGGGATTAACTAGAAAAATGGGTCGGAGCCAAACTGGGGTTCGAAGCCGAATAAATTCTCGAGTTGAATATCTATAATTTAACAACCCAAATTAAAGGATTGATCTTGAGTTAAACTTGATATAGAATATTCCAAAGAATAATCTATTATATTTGAGCATTTAGCATATAAAATATAACTCGGAAAATTCTGAAAATTACGGATTCACTTATAGTCGAGCAGTGAAACCATTCTTAATATTATTACTGATTTGAGGTTACAAAAACGAAAAGATGTGTTTTTTACGATGTGCTTCTTGTGTGTTGAATACAAAATAACATAATGCAATGGTCTTTTTATAGTGAAAATGACGTAATTAAATTTGTAAAGTAGATAAATATCAATATTTTTTCAGATTTAGTTATCTAAATTTAATATTTTTTTTCGATATTATCAAGTAGTTATTGCAAATATTATTGCATGTTAACTCGTAAATCTTAAGTCATTTTATTATGTTAAGTAGATTATTGCGTTTATTTTGTAAGATTTAAGATGATATTTGAGTGCAATTTTTTTTAATAAAAGCGTGTGTGCGTGATTTTAGTGTGGAATGATTATGGAATGATGTTTTTAAGAGATCTACAATTAAATGACAAAAAAATCTGACCAACTCTTTAAGAGTTTACAAAAAATTGGATTGTAGAAATTGATAAGTCCAAATAGTATCAAATACATAAATAAAATATCCAACAAAATTGAATTCATTTTACGCTACATAAATTTGTTAAGTAGATAAATGCAAATACTTTATGAGATTTAGTTTTCAATTCGAATTGTAAAAATGCAAATTGACTATCAAATTAAATCAAAAAAAGATCAAATTCTAATTTGTTTTTTTTTTTATTGATATCGGATAAATATTTATAAGGATGTTAGTTATATCAAATATTTTTTACCAATTTTTTCTCAATTACGAACCTTTTTATTTATATCTAAATAAAAAAAAATCGACAATGAGATAAATCCTAGTAAATCTAATAATATATGTAAAACGTGTATATTGCAATAATTATGGAATGGGTTTATTAAGATATCTAAAAATAATTGACAAAAAATTCTAATCAAAGCTATAAGTGATTAAAAAAGATCGCATTGTACAATGAGATAAGTCCTAATAAATCTATTAACACATTTATCTGTTAACATTGATTAGGATTTTGTTATATGAATTATATTAACATATTTATCTCAATATTTACCTCTTTTGATTGATATCTAAAATGCTAATCGAAAAAATGTGGTAATTTTAAACAGAATATTTAAACGAAATTTGTAAAAATCAAATTTTTGTTTTGATTTGAATCGGATAAATATTGATTAGAATTAGATAAGTCCTAGTAAATAGATTAACATATTTATCTATTAACATTGATTAGGATTGATGTTATATAAAATATATGAACATATTTATCTCAATATGAAACTCTTTTGATAGATATCTAAATTATTAATTATTAATAGAAAAAATGTAATTATTTTAAGCAATATGAATATTTAAACGAAATTTGTAGAAATCAAATTTTTGTTTTGATTTGAATCGGGTAAATATTGATTAGAATTAGATAAGTCATAGTAAATCAATTAACATATGTATCTATTAAAATTGATTTGGATTTTTGTTATAAAAAATATATGAACATATTTATCTCAATATTAAACTTGATTTTTAGATATCTAATTATTTGTTATTAATAGAAAAAATGTGATTATTTTAAACAATATGAATATTTAAACGAAATTTATTTTTCCAATTACACTATTAAAAATTATTAATTATTAATCTATCTAGAGATTTGATATAACTAACAATCTAAACAATATTTATCCAATTTATCTCAATGATGACATTTTTTTTACGTCTAAAATAGTAATAAAAAAATGTGGTAATTTAGAAGTCATTATCGATTTAAAAGAAATTTGAAAAAACCGATATATTGAATCTATTATAAGTTGTCGAAAAATTGGTAATGACAATCAACATTTAAGTTTTAGTTCATTAATATTAATTAGTTTATTTTTTATTATACAAGAAATTAGTTGATATTTATAGAGGTCATTTTAAAATACAATAATCAATCGAATTGAATTATAAATTGAATAATAAAGGAAAACAACTCATAATTTTATTATCAAATCCTAGCAATGCCATAGAATAAAATTATTAAACAACTCGAATTAAAATTTTAATATAACAGTTTCATAATTCCTAAGAAATCCACGCAAAATTCTTCAAAATCTCGGAATCCTCATTAGTGATGAGGAAAATTTCCATCGTAGGTGAATACATTTGTCTTTGGATGAAGCACAAGCATCCATCTGTGGCCAGTTGTATTGATCCTCTGATTATTGAATTCAACATTGTAGTTGTGGATTGCAAAAACTTTGCCTTCTTTGAACACATCTCGATATACTCCCATGCTTCGAGAACGGATGATGTCATTTATGCGTGAACCCTACAATAAAAATTTATACAATTAACTAAATTAACTAATATAATTATGTATGTTACATAAAACAATTGAAATGCTTACATTTTTATCATGAAACAGGATTTGAATATTATTCTTGGACTGCAGCTCGAAATTCGATTCAAGAATGTTGACTACTCTTAATGTCTAATACGGTTGGGTGGCCCTATTGACGTCCCCGAGTGTACCACAGAATCGTGCCATTTTTTTTTTTTTTTTTTTT